GAATATGGCTTTTAGCCCAAACTTCTATAATACCATCTAATAACCAAAATGAACGTACTAAACTCTAACCCCAATAACTATTCTCTTTACGGAAGCCATTGTGTAGTGGGATTGATTTCTACTCTCGTAGGCTTTCTTTTGTTTTATTTAGGAGCTCATTGAGCCGATAAAAACGAATGTAGTGGATCAGTTTGTTTATTCTCCGGAGGTACTTTGGCTGGCTTGTGATTAATGCTTCTGTTAGGTTTGGCTATTTATTTTTTTAGAAAGAGTGCCGAAGGAAGCAATCAATCAGTCCAAACAACAATTTATCCGAGTTATTCACCTTATCTAAAATTAGAAAGTTAAAAGGTTATGAATCGCTCAGAATTGTTAAAATTTATCAGTGAAAAATTAATCTGAGGAGTTCGTTTTTTGGCTCGAAACTTAGTTAAAAATTTGGTTAGTTGAATTGTTTATGATTTGCTCCAAGCTGAACCCAATCCGGCGAGTGAATGAGTGGTTTTGTTGGTTTCCGTGGGGATAATTGTTTTTGTTGTTTGGAAATTGGTTTGTTTGGTTGGGAAGACTGTTTGGTTAAGAAAGAAATGTGGGTACGGGAGATTATAGGGGAATTTTTCTAGAAGAAAAAAATTATATATAATATGAAACATTATGGTAAATGCCCAAGAATGATTGGATAAAAATTATCCCATTAGCGGAACTTGTATGAGAACAGAAGATAAAGAAAATTCCGGGAAAAGAAGAAGTGAAATTGCTAACCTAGATATTAGTTATAAAAATTTGGAAGGTCATCTTGACTTAACTGATTTTGTTAATTTGAAGAAACTTGTTTGTTCTAAAAATAAGTTAACCTCTCTTAATTTAGTTAACTGTCAACAGTTAGAGAGAATTGTTTGCTCTGATAATCAACTAACTATTATCACTTTACCCTCTAATCCTACCAATTTAAAAAAAATAGATTTAAGTAATAATAACTTCCCCGAACAAGACTTATCTTTTTTAACTCCTTATATTAATTTAGAAGAACTTGATTTAAAAAACAATAATTTCATTGGTTCCCTAGATTATTTAAGTGTGATGAAAGAGTTGAGAAATCTTGATATTTCTAATACTGATATAAATGAAGTAAACATAGATAAATTACCTAAAAGTTTAGAGGAGATTCATTATTTCACTGGATTAATAAGACTAAGGCCAACTTGTAAGTTAACTGAAATAGTTCCACAACTGGATTCTTGAACCTGAAAAGACTTACATTCTAGTTTTGTTCATTATGGAAAATTATTAAGAAAAGAGTGAGAAAAAGAAGATTTTACTAAAGACCAAACCAAAGAATGAATCCAAGCAAGATTGGAACCAAAGGATTATAAATTTGTTAGTTATTTAAGAGATGTTAAAAGAGTTACTTCTCAATGAATTCCAAAAGATAAAGAAGAAAACCAAGAACTAAAAAGAAAATGTAATGAGTTTGATTGGTGTCGTCAGTGTCAACAACTTAATACTAACAAGAACTGATGCCAGCCTTGTGCTGAACAAGAATGAAAAGCCGATATAATAAACTTGACAGGGCAAGAAGTTATTGAAAAGTTTGTTCAACAGCGACGATTGAGGTTAGAATGAATTCCTTATGAAGAATTTACCAATATCGAATATCTAGCCTCAGGAGGTTTTAGCAAAATATATAAGGCTAAGTGGGAAAAATGTGAAGATAAGTTAAATAAAGAAAAAATAATTGTTCTCAAAGTTCTTACTGATTCTCAAGAAATTACTCTAGATTTTCTAACCGAGATTGCCAATACTAAATTGGTTGAAAAAAATGGTTTTTTTGATAATAATAACATTGTAAATTGCCACGGCATTTCCCAAGACCCCCAAACTAAGAATTATATAATGGTGATGCAATATGTGGAAAATGGTAATCTGAGACAATGTTTGCAACAAAAGCGCGGGAAATTATGTTTTACAGATAAACTTGACAATTTAAGTGGCATTGTCAATGGGTTGAGTAGTATGCATAACCACGGCTTAGTTCATCGAGATTTTCATATAGGTAATGTATTAAATAGTGACCCTAGAGGCAAATGAGGCATACAATATAGTGATTGTTGTATCACTGATTTAGGCTTAAGTCGCCCTGCCAACTATCAAGAAAAAGAGGGGCAAATTTTTGGAGTTCTTCCCTATATTGCACCTGAAGTTTTACAAGGTCGGCCTTATACTCAAGCCAGTGATATTTATTCTTTTGGAATAGTGGCTTATGAGTTATTGGCTAATTCTTATCCTTATCCGCCAATGGACGAGACGGAATTAGTTTTGAAAGTATGTGATAAAGAAAAACCATTGCGGCCTAATATAGATGAGTTAAAAATAATACCTCAGATTTTAAAAAATTTAATTAAAAAGTGCTGGGATTCTGACCCACTGAAAAGACCAAGTGCCGAATGGTTAAAGAATTTTTTTATTAGAGATTTATACGATAGAGGTAATGTCGGAGGAAAATCAAGTGTTAGTTACAAATGAAAAAACCAAGACTTTGGAGACCAATATCACGAAATAAAATTCGATTACAATAATTTTTCTCGCATTACTCCTTATAAAATCCATCCTACTGCCCAATTAACTAGCAAGATGGTAGATACTAGGGAAATTATAGAGTTAATAGCTAAGTGCGAACTAGAAAATCAAGCTTCTGAGGATTCAGATTTAGTGATTGAGTGGGCTAGCGATAATCAACAACAATCTTTCCTTCAAACCCAAAATCAAACCTTTTCGAAGAATAAGCGAAAAAATCAAAGCATATTTTCTAACGAACAAAATGAAGGAAAAATTAAACAAACAAGGACAAATAAAGAATTAACTGATGTTAATTGATTTGGGTCCAGTCATTGATTAACAGATAAAGAAATTGATTGAGCCTTGGAAAAGGTGGTAAATCAATTAAGTTTACCTTATGAACAAATTGCTCAATTCAAAATTTTAGAACTTACCCAATTCATGTTTGCCAAAGAAACTTCAGGAACAAAAGATATCGAAGCGTCAATAAGTTTCCCTACTTTACTTAGTGAATTAACTGGTTTTAATGGTAAATTAGTGTTCATCCCTATTAACAATCCAGACTTCCACTGAAGCCTGCTCGTTTATGAAAGAGTTACTCAGAACTTTTATCACTGGGATACTTTAAATGGTAGTCCTAATCATGGTTATATTAAGCCCTTAGTAAGAGATTTACTCCAACAATTAAATCAAACTAATAATCCTAATTTAGACAAACACCTAGTTTTACGAGATGAAATTAAACAGCCTAATACTTGAGACTGTGGAATTGCCGTAATCGAAATTACTAAGCGAATTATGGAAAAATATAGCGGTAGTTTGAAAGGCATAGATTTGGCCAAATTCGACTTTCCCCAAGCTCGGAGTGATTGGAAGATTGAATATGAGAATGAACAAACACAACAAGCATCAGTTGAGTTCCGAGCCCACATTCAAATCCCTCTTAAAAAAAGTAATTAAGAAAGCAGATTAGAAACGGGATGCGTGACCATTCGACCAAACACTAACCAACTTCGAAATTAAAGATTTATTAGACAAATATTCTAACCAATATTTTGTAATCATTAATAACGATAACCCAGATGAGGCTTATTTTTGTTTCCAAAGAAAAGTTAAAGCAGGCTGAGAATTTTTAACCAGCAGTCCTACTGAGTTAGAACTAGAATACGAAGATCGAGAAGATAGTTTAAATGGAAAAGTTTATTGGGGTTAGAGTTTAGTACGTTCATTTTGGTTATTAGATGGTATTATAGAAGTTTGGGCTAAAAGCCATATTC